TCCTCCTCTCCTACGGCCACTAGCATTTTGTTGCGAGGCAGACAACTCTCTGTCCTCCAATCACCTTCTTATCGTTTTTATTTCCGTAAAGTTGTTATTTATTCTAGTATCTGACATAATGAGGTTAGTGACAGACGGTTGGTCAAGGTTCCTATTCCCTACTTTGTAAGTTCATTTTAGTCTTTTTAACCTTTTGTACAGATCGTATGGGCGATATTTGGTACAGTCTATCTAGCACTTTCTACAAAAAGCCCACCTTTCCAACTGAAAAGACAAGCAAGTAGTCCACATCACGTACTTATTTCTTCATCCTTGTCTTCTCAAGATGACGGGTCTTCAGAAATCATCAGAAGAGCCCTCCGATCCAAACGTTAAGTCGCTCTTCCACAATCCACTGTCTATATCTTCCTCCTCTGTCTGCAGGCAGCCGTGCAAAAATGAATGTCTTCTTGTCGGTCTTAACACGGCTTGGCTGGCAGTCGGATTAGCTGATTCGCGATCACCTGTTCAGAAGAGACGGTTGTACATTTGTTTGATATTTACCCGGCAGACGATTTCTTCCCTCCGTTCTAGACGCCAGTACAGGTTGCCCAGTGGGGTGTATGTGAAGAATCGACTCCACCTTTCTCGGTAGCCCTTATCTTGCCTTCTACCGTGCAAATTAGCCAAAAAGACAGACCGGCTTTAGGCATATTTCACTTGTTTACACTAAGCACACGCGTCTGCTGCCTGTCGTGTGTCTCAGAGCACTCTTGGCCAATGCGTCTCTGGCCTGGCTTGTACCGGAGGCGACATGTGCTCGCCTGGAGTGAGAGATTTCCGAAACGGGTCTCGACCGCTGACCGCTGTCTCCTACCCTCAGGACAAGAGCCAATCAGCAGCCACTGTCCTCTTCGTAGGTCCTTTCGACTGCTACTGACCGTACAAGTGGTGGGATTTTAGGTTTCATTGGACTGTCATTAACGTTTCAATAGAAACTTTGGCAGTGGATATTAAGACCAAGATGGTGGGGCCTTTTTTTCATTTATGGGTAGGTTTTCGTGACAGCCAGTATACCAGAGACGTGAGATGTATTTAACCTATTTCCTTTAGGTGAGGAAGGACCAGTAGTTCAACTTTCTTAAACTGATGTGAGTAGACTCTACGTTTTTGTTGCAGTTCACATAACCTTGCTTCCACTTCTCCAGGTTTAAGAGGACTGCAGATTCCACCTCGAATAGGCCTCATCAGAACCCCCAGCAGGACTCAGTCAGTGATTGGGCAGCGTGCAATCTCGAGAAATTGTCATCTACGCCGCACTGCCACGAGATACCTTTAGTCACAGAACAAAAGTGAATTTTAAGCAAGGCCAGAACTTGTCCCATATAACATTCTGAGTTGAGATTTTCGAAGAAGTAAAGTTGTAGTTGCTATAGCAACCGCATAGATTATATATTTTTCGTTTATAAGTGGGTCTTATAGATTACCACCAGATCATATATATGATATAATATATTCATTCTATTTCTGTTCAATTCAATTTTCCCATATATATATATATATATATGACCTTTTGCTTGGCCGCAGACTCGTTTGGCCTGTTTTTGCAACTTGGTTGGAGTAACAGAAACGCCTAATCAAGCATCCTCACTCATTCTATTTATGATGATTTCTGGCATTTAACTGTTGGATTGCTATATTCCCAAGCGTTTCGCCGGCATATTAGTCGGCATCCCCAGTCAGAGACGCCATCTTCAGCACAGACTTACAATTGATCAGAGTGAAACTTATCTTGCTTCTTCGAGGTCAAACCAATGGGTACTTATGTCTGGTTGATAGTATAAAAAGGGTGCTAAGTCATCTTAAAAAAGGGAGGGTACTCAAATAACCTTCTGTTTAGAATGGTTCTAATCACAATAACACTTTCATACGTCTTAATTCACTCTTTCTGTCTGACAAACAGACAAAAAGCTCATTTTGATAAGTCGTAACTCGGTGTCAAGAATGACGTCTTCTATTGACTATGCCAACTACGATTCTGGCGAAACGTTCGGAAGTGTAACAAGCCTACATTCTGATGCCAGAAATAATCATGAGTGCTATGGCAGAGTGAATTTTACTAAACCTTACCTCACTAAGGGCTATGCCATCAAGTCTATGCTGCAGGCTTCAGCATCTATCAGCACCTTCAGTGGGATTTGATCGCAGAACGTCAGTAGTTTGATGACTTTTTCTCTCCAAGGCAAGCCAGGCCTCTTCCAAATCAGAATGTATAGTGGGAATATTGAATTACCAATCATGTATTTGCCATTTCAATAGAAGATTTTACTGATTGTAGGAAAACTTAAATATTAGTCCCCGAATTACCTAAAGTGATAGTCCAAGTGACTAGATTTTGAAACTAGCAATAGATCCAGAATAAGAGCTCCAGTCACCCTAGGCCGCATGGGGTGATGAAGAACGGATAGATAAATTTTCCTACAAACCTATATTCGCTATATATATAAGATCTACTGGTGGTCTCAAAAACCTACTCAGAACGAAAAATAAGTAACGTTTTCGATTGGTGTAGCAAATATAAATTGCCTCATTGATAATCCCACTACAAAATGCCTGGCCTTTCTTGAAATTCACATCTTAATTGTGACTAAAGGGCATTCGTGAAAACGTGGGGTAGTGGTTATATACGCTGCCCTGTCATCGTTCGAGTCCCGCTGCGGGGAGCCTGCAGTCCACACTGGATGAGATCACCTTTTGTGAAAGCAAGGTTATGTGAATTGCAATGCAAACA